AAGCTATCACCTTATATGTGAGACTTGATTTTTCTGATTGTTGTTTTCTTATCTTTATTGTTCTTATTCTCCGATTTTCTAGTAATTAGTTTTATTGTGTAATTGAATTTTTGCCAAATTTGATACAATTTGTAGTTTGACTATGCTATAATTTTTCATCAAATGTATTTAATTACCTCCATGTTTTTGTCGCCATTTCTAATATATGGTTACTAAACTATTATTTTTGTTGGATTTTTCATATTTTAGTTTTAATCCAAAGAAATTTTTGATCCAATGAAGTAAGTAGTTGTCTAATGAAAAATTTGTGAATTATGAATTTGTTTTACTTGCGTGATTTTATGCATTCCAATATAGATGTGCATTTGACAATTCTAGATTCTAATGTATCTGAAATCATAAGGTTGCAAGCCCCAACCTAAGGGTCTGTTTGGGGCAGTTGTTGATTATTTATAATCTGCTGATAAACAGATTATTCTGATAATTTGATAATCTGCAGATTATCAGAATAAACTGACTTACTGTTTGAGGCAGTTTATTCAGAACAACTTACTAGGAGTTGTTGAATAAATGACCATTTTGTCCCTGTTTGGTTAAGCTGTTTGCAACAAAGCTGTTTATGAAAAATAATAGATAAAACAGATGTCTCAAACTATTACAGTTCAGTTACAAAAATTAAAATATATTGATCATCATGTCATGAGCATCAAAAGAAATAAAATAAGAAGAAATACAATTACAATTACAAGTAAAAAAATTAAAACATTCAATTTAAAACTCTGACGTCGTCTGTCCTCAACGATACTGCTCTCTTGGGAAACCATTGTAACACGATTACTGTCGGCATGAGAGTATGCAGGCCGTGGTTACGACATAAGTTGTGTAGAAGATCCATAAAAATGGGCGCAGTCATTCGAAAAATGTTGCTAAACTTTATCAGATGTCCAACAAGTATCTCACCCACCCATTTATTCTCAACATATGAGGATGTCATGCGTGGTATCTGTCTAGTGCTCGAGTGGTAGTATTCCAACAATAATATCGCTATAGCTACATCCCATGCCATTCTTTTATGACGTTCTTGTTGTGGATGTATCCTGAAATTAGAAATGGATTAGGTTGAAATAATTTATGGAGAAGTGGTGACAACAAAATGAAATAGTAAAAATATCAAGAAGTAGAAAGCATCAGAAAATGAATTACATAAATTGTTCAGGAGTACAAAGTAGCAGAAAATGAATTAAATAAAATAAAATACATCTAGTGGCACGTTAATACAAAACAAAATTATTCTTCTAGTGACACATTAATACAAAACAAACTTATTCTTCTACTAAAACACGTAAATACTCAATGCGCAGCTCGAGCCGTAGCGCCATGAACATTTACCTACGACTAGGGTCCTCAAGTTTTTTAACACATTTTGTATGAAAGCGCATATCGACAGCTTCTTCTGGAATAGTATCTAAGATGACAACGCAGTCCCAGATGGTGCTGTCGGGGAGAGCTGGAGGAGGCGGAGCTGAAAAAGCAGCAATTAGTTGATCAAATGAGCTTTTCACGAAACTGTCCTTCTCTTTCTTCCTCCTGCCAAGTCTGGGCCTTTTGGACACTGAACTGGACTTCTCAATCTTCTTTTGGTTGATACTAGACCCTTCTTCATCAACTATAACCTGTTCAGGTGACAATTCATCTGGTATTCCTGTAAATCCCAACTCACTTGGGTTGAATGCATGCTTTCCAGTCGCGACAACCCCCTTAAACATAATGTCCAATTTTTTCTCGAACTCTGACTCAATTCTGCACTGCCTATATTTTTTAGTTGTTGGCATGACCTGCAACATTGAATGAAATTAGAGGGGTTTGGGCATTAGCCAAAATATACTGGAATTAACAAAATAAGATTATATTTATTACCTCCAATTTTCAGCCCACCATTCATTTGGAGCATCGATTGTTCTCTTAACGGGATCTCAACCCAACCCTGTGGATCCACGTTTGAGCTCCTTCCAAATTTTTCACTCCTTCAACTGATCTCATTTATTTTTAAATTTGAGCTTGTCTTAATCCCTCCCTGTCAATTCTTTGAACCTTCTAGCAATATTTTGTCAACCTTTCTTATTGAAATACGTGGTTATGCCTATTTCTCAATTATATTTCTTTAGTACATAAATCACAAAAAATATTTGTTACTTCTTTATCCCACATAGCAGACAGTCCCCCTTCAGCCGCCTTAGACATGTTGGAACTGACATGTTGGAACTATAAACTATATGGAATAAAGGAAAATAAGTACTTGCATTACCCGATACACAAAAACGTTTCCATTGTGTTGCAATTTCCTCATCAAAACAAAAAATAAAAGTACATAAAAGAATTATGTGATTCGGTCAAAGACCTACATCAACAGAAGGGAATCAAGCATATTTTATTAAGTTATAGTGTTAGGCTACATAACTTCGAATCTCAATGAAGAACACTACAACACACTCTATGGTGCTAATCTACTAACCAATAAAGTCTTCGAAATCGCCAACAATGACTAATTTATATATATATTAAAGAAACTTTGAAGAAATGAAACAAACATAAGCAGTTAGAAGCAAATAGACAGACCCTCAACCAAAATATCCAGCACGAGAAGGTATTCCATGAAGACAGAGCACGAGAAGCAAACAGATGCCCCTCATCACGAGAATCAAACAAATAGCCCCTCATCATCCACCGCTGCTAAGCAAAGTTTGCATTCATTAGCTGAAATTAGACCTGCAATAATATTATAAGCTCCAACTACCTCATCAGAGGCAGCACAAAGCACATCATCCAGCACTGCTAAGTGAATTTCAAAAGCAGCAATACTATAACACTCCTTTGTAACGAACTGTATTCAGTTTGATTCGATATGCATACCATTCAAATGAATCAACAAGAGATGAAAGGCATCAAAAGATGAACAGCTGCAAACCCTTCCACCACATCAAAACGATGAATAGCAAATCAATTGTCCCATAAGTGGTATGCGTGTGAATATGAATGTTTAGGTGTTAGATTTGTAAGTACATAAGAACTATGCAGTATGTATGCAACCAATTGTCCCATAAATGAAACTCAAAGTAATCTATATATTTCTAAAAAGTGTTATGAAGTCGTATCTAATTGTGGTAAGTGATTGGATAAGTTCCAGCACAATCCATCATTCACCATTGGAAGCATATGATATATATGTTCGTAATATGATAACCAGTCCTCCAGCACCAAATATAATAAGAAACCTATCCATGAACTCCCAAAGAGATGTAAAAGATGCTAAAGACATAAGGCAAACAAAAGGAAGGCAACAAAAGGATAGGTAAATAAGCAACCTATCCAGTTCTATCTTGGGCTAACTTCATAACCCAAATACATAAGAAAACAAGTGCAACACTACCTTCATATCATTAAGTACAATAAGGAAATCGTGTACTATAAAATGTATTCTTGGGCTAATTTCATGTATAATAAAAAAACATGCAATTGATCTTAACAGGCATTCCACCATGAGCTCTCGGGTTGGCACCTCAGGTCGGCACATGAATGTATAAGAAACAAGGGCTACCTTCATCACCCAAATATCACAGAATTCCTATGTACAAACCTACATTCATATTCATTGGAAAGATAATTCAAATGCATTGGAAAGTCGTTTACATTTCAACAGAAATTTGCCATAACCAATACCAATACCATTGTATGTATGTAAAATGTCATTTTCACTATATGAATGTAAAATGCCCCATTATACCAAAACATAGAAATGAGATAGCATTCTAGTACTGTGAAAGCAAAGATAAAACCGAAATTCCCAAACATTCGAGCATTCCAACATTCCCCTTCATTACAAGCACAAATTTGATTCCCAACATGTCAACATTTCAATATTGTAACTCAAAAAATTCTCAGGCATCAGAACAGGGTCATACGTATGTAAAAATGCCACATGAAAGCTTATGCTCTTTCAAATAACCGCATCATATTTGAAAATCCAACATTAATCCAACATT